CCCCTCTCCTCTGGTCGATGAAACATTGTTCATCACTCACGCACATACAAACTACGGGCTGCGCACCGGTGCCCTCACGGTAAGCCAATACCTCGAGGCTTTTTTTTTTTTTTTTTTTTTTTACCTCGAGTTTTTACGTGAAGATCCGTGGGGCCACGTCCCCACTAGCGGGGGGTTTAGACTTGGTTCCGAGTATGCACGAGTCCTTGCCACCCGATCTTAAAATCTACGGCCAGAGTGAGGCCACGTTGAAAAATAAGCCAAAGGAAGTCTAAACCCGGGCTAGTAAAAGCAAAAGTAAAAAAACCCGGCTACTGGGACTTAACGTGTGATGGTGAGTCGTGCAGCGAGGCCCTTTTTGTCTTCCTTTTATTTTTTTTTCCCCCTGGAACTTCCTAAGGGAGAAAGCAGGGGATAGCTGGTACTGGGAGGACCTCTGCAGCGAGGCCCTGTGGATTGGACAGGGGAGAACGCGCCTCGAGGCATAACGACCAGGTACACGACCGGGTGCACGATCAGTTGCAGTGTCTTATGCTTCCGGGGCAAGGTCCCACTTGCACGAATTAAGAGATCCTGACCGTAGATTGCAAAGATCAACGGTCCAAATCTCCTAATTTGCGCAAGTGGGACCTTGCCCCCGGACACGGGTTCTTTTTTTTTTCTTGTTTTTTTTTTCCCCGGACACGGGTCGCTGCCATCCGATCTGAACATCTCACGGTCACACAGAAGCAAGTCTAAACACTTGGGACTTAGCCCCACGGGCAAGGTTTCACCTCCCCAGGTTCAGCGTTTCTGGTCGTCATTTCGTCCTAGAAAAGGACTGTCGAATCGACGGTTTTCAGAACGAAGAAAAAAATAGAGCCACGGGGGGTCTCACGGGGCCAAGTCCCAGTTATCCTGATTCTTCATTTCTGGCCATCCGATCATCGTGATCTACGGTCAGAAGTTGAGAGAAAAAAAAAAAGAAAAGAATTCGGGTACCAAGTGGGACTTGGCCGAAATCTCAGTTACTGCTCGAGAGAGGCCCTTTTTTGTAATTTTTTGTAATTCCCCCCCCCCTCTTTTTTATCAAAAAAGAAATGATAAGGTTCGATGAACTTTTCCATGATGGCGACGTTGACGGTTTTATTTATTTATTTAAATTGATGGTTTGATTACAACGCCATGCTGAAGCGTGCATTTCGTATATTTTGAGAGAAATCGAAGTACTGGATGGGGTTAACAATTGACCGCGGGGGAAAAAGAAGGGGGTAAAAAACATGCCAAAAAAAAA